TTGAACTGCGATATTTGTGGGCCTGGCGGCGCGGGCTGACGCCCCAGGGGGACGCCGGCCGGGACGCGCCGGGCACCCCGAGCGGCGGGGGGACTCCGACGGCGAGGCCGGCCGCCGTTTCGCGACGCCGCGGTCCGGCGCACGACCGTCAGACAGACTCGGGCTCCCTCCCTGGAGATTACACGGTCTCGGCGTCGCCGAGCTTCTGGGCGGCGGCGACGCGGTCGGCCCAGCTCCGTATGGAGGGGACGAGGAGGCCGCCGAGGACGATCTGGATCGGGTGGTACATGAGGAGCGGCGCGCTGAGCATGGGGAGGTAGGGGTGGTCCGGGAAGACGATGCGGAGCACGGGGATGCCGAGCGTGAGCGACTTGTGGGACGCGCAGAAGACGGCGCAGATGACGTCGCCCGGCGGGAACGGCTTCTGCCAGAGCGCCGTCGACGTCGTCACGAAGAAGAGCGCGGCCATGAAGAGGCCCTGGAGCGCGACGACGACGACGGCCGTCGCGGCCATGGCGGCCCGGCTCTGGGCCTGCTTCCCCGCGGCGGCGCCGAAGGAGTCGCAGAACGTCGTGTAGATGATGAGGAGCAGCGTGCACTGGCCGACCTCCGAGAGCGGCGGCTTCGCGCGCTCGAGCCACGCCTCGAGCCGCGGCCGCGCGAGCTGGCCGCAGGCCAGGGGCACGAGCACGGTCACGAAGAGCTGGCGGAAGACGCGCAGCAGCGTCTCGTAGAACTCGCCCGCGGCGCCCGCGCTCTGCGCGGACCCGCCGCTCTCGACGGCGAGCACGAGCTCGATCGGCGTCACGAAGACGCCCAGGAGCGACCCGAAGGCGCTGTTGAAGATGGCCGCGGCCTCGTTGCCGCCGGCGGCCTTGGTCAGGATCACCGCCGACGACACGGGCGGCGGCATGCAGCTCACCGCGACGACGCCCTGCAGCAGCCACCGGTGGAACGACGCGGCCCGCAGCGTCGGCGCGACGATGAACGTCACGACGAGCGGCACGAGGCCCAGCGTGAAGCCCTGGATCAGCGCGTGGAGCGGCAGGTTCGCGACGGCGCCCGCGAGCTGCCGCGGCTTCAGCGCGACGCCGGAGAGGAAGAAGATGAGGAAGACAGCACCGTACTTCACCGTGACGTCCGGGTGGAGCGGCCCCGTCTTCGCGCCGATGGACGGGTCCACCTTGGCGGCGACGATGGCGCAGGCGACGCCGACGAGCATCCAGTTCTTCCGCAGGAAGCCCGGGCCCTTGGCCATGTCCTTGTCGCCGCCGGCCTCGAGCGACGCGAGGTCGTCGCTGAAGGACCCTTTCGCGGTTCTGCGGTTCATAAAAGATGTGCGCGGAGCTCCGTTCTATGCGCGTCCGCGCTCCGCGAGACGCGCGCGCGCGCTCCAAGCGAGGCCGTCGACCGAGGCTGCGTTGCCTCAAGATAGCGAGCTGCTCGTTGCCGTCAAGATCAGCGAACTCGCTGTGGCAATTGTGTCCCCGCCGCCGCCGGCGTCGCGCGCCTGCAGCGCGCCTTGCGCTGCGCCGACCACCACCAAACGCGACACCAACCACGACACCAACACAGGAGCCATGGGCGCATCCCGCAAGCGCCTCGCCGCCGCGCCGGCGGAGGTCGCCTGGCACGCGCACATCCCGCGGCGCGACGTCGTCATCGGCTGCGCGGGCCTCGCGGCGCTGCTCGCCGTCATCCCCGGCTGGAGCGAGCACAGCCTCAGCGTCAAGTGGAAGCTGGCGCACAGCAGCCGCGGCGGCCTCGGCAGCGCGCGGTGGCCGCGGACCGTCGCGCGGCCCGCGTTCGTCGGCGACGATCGCGTCGCGCTGCCGTGGCACGCGGACCGCGACGGCGCCGAGGCGCCGAGCGGCGTGAAGCTCTACGAGCGCCGGTCGGGCAAGCCCGCGCTCGCGCCCCTCGCGGAGCGGGCGCTCGGCGGCGCGCCGCTGCTCGCGCTCGCGGCGGGCGCCGTCCGCGGCGAGACCGTCGTAATAACCGTCGACGCGGCCGGCGCGTGCGCGTGCCTTGACGGCGCCACGCTGCGCGAACTCTGGTCGACGCAGCTCGACGCGGCCTGGTTCGACGACGCGCCCCTGCCGCCGTCCGTGGGTTTGGCGCTCGAGCCCGAGGCCGTCGTCGTCGCCGTCCACGGCTCCGACGGCCGGTCGCGGCTCGCGCGGCTCGCGGCGGGCCGGCGGGGCGCGCCGGCCTGGGCCGTGGCCTTTGCGCCCGAGCCCGACGGCGACCGCGGCGGGTCGCCGCCGCGGAGCTCCTGGGAGGCGGACGCGGACTTTTGGCGCGTCGCCGGCGAGCAGGCGTACCGCGCGCCCGGCGGCGACGCGCTCGAGGCGCTCGCGGCGGCGCACCTGCCCTTCTACTGGGGCGGCGCCGAGGACACGGCCGTGGGTCCGTCGCCGTCGAATGCGAGCCTCTACGTGTCCCGGGGCCCCTTCGGCCTCGACTTCTGGGACGCGGCGAGCGGCGCGCACGCCGCGCGCGCGCCGCTGCCCGCGCGCGCGCTCGTCGACGACGTCGACGGCGACGGCGCGGCGGACTCGATCGCCTGCGTCGACTTCGACAGCTCGCCGCCGCGGCACCGCAAGTCGGAGACGTCGGACGTCGCGGCCTGCGCGGCCGTCGGCGTCCGCGGCCTCGCGCCCGTCGAGCGGTTCTTCGAGGCGTCGCTCTGCCACGACCGCGGCGTCGAGCGCGACTCGGCGAAGCGGCGCCAGGACCGGAGCCGGTCCAGGTGGAAGCAGCGCCGCGTCCACAGCGCGCCGCCCCTGAAACTCGAGGGCCGCGACATGGTCTTCGCCGTGAGCCGCGGCGTGCTCACGCGCGTCGACGCCGCGGGCGACTACCGCTGGCAGACGCGCCACGGGCCGACGTGGGCGGACCACCGCAAGGGCGGCTACCTCGCGCCCCTGAGCCGCCGCGAGCTCATCCTCGTCGGCAGCGACGCCGTCGCGGTCTACGACTTGGACCACGGCGGACCGCTCGCGAGGCTCGAGCTGCCCGTGACCTGGGACGACGAGCAGGTCCAGCAGCGGCCCGTGCTCGACGGCGACGAGCAGTTGTTGCTCGTCGTGACCCAGTTCCACACCTTCGGCGTCGAGCTCAAGCGCAAGTTCTCCGTCGGCGCGGCGACGACGAAGCTCGCGGTCGGCGTCCTCGTCGCCATCGCCGTCTTTTTCGTGTTCCTGGCGGCGGGGGCCGTGTAAGGTTTTTACATGTTTTTTACTCGGGCCTAGACGAAGGCCGTGTTCACGAAGATGGGCGCCGCGCCGGGCGGGAGCGACGGCCGCCGGTCGCCGCCGGGCGCCGGCCGCGCGTTCTCCGGGTCGCTGAGCCAGCTCCGCCGGCGCACGGCGAGGCCCGGGTCGCTCGCGCTCCGCGCGACCCGCGGCGACGGCGCGCGCTCGCCGCCGTCGTCGTCGCCGTCGCCCCAGCTAAAGTCGCTCCCGGCGTCGTCGTCCTCCTCCTCCGCGAGGCTGCTCCGCGCCGCGGACGCCCGGCTCTCGCGGGTCCTCGGCGGCGGCGTCGACGGGCCGGGCGTCGCGGCCTCGGCGGGGAGTTGCGCGGTCGGCGCCGTGTCGGAGCTTCGCGCCGCGGCTCCGTCGGAGATTCGCGCCGCGGCGGCTCCGTCGTCCGGTTCGTCATCCTCGTCCTCCTCGTCCTCGTCGTCGTCGGCGTCGTGGAAGAAGTGCTCGGCCGTCGGCGATAGCGCCAGAGATGCCGCGCGGCGCTTCCGCGGCGTCGCCGCGAGGACCGGCGGCTGCGCCGGGAAGCCCGGCTCCCGCGGCACCGGCAGCGGCTTCGGCCACTCGCTCGATGCGGCCGGCGGCGTCGACGAGAGATCGACGGTCTCCAGCACCTCGCCATCGTCGTCTCTCCAGATTTCATCATCCTCGGCCATCACATCAGCATCGCATTCTCCATCGCGTGACGGCCATGCTCTCCCGAGGGGCTGCGTCTCCTTCAACGTCGGCCTGGCTCTCCAAAGTGCACCGACGCGATCGATCGAGCTTGAGCATGGTGAGAGCTCCGATTTTGGTCCTCGCGCTCGCGGTCCTCGCGAGCGCGTTGAACCTCGCAGCTCCCAAAAGCAACCTCGCAGCTCCCAAAAGCCATGCCGCAGCTCCCAAAAGCGTGAGCCGCCGCGACGTCGCCGCCGCCTTCGCCGCCCTCTCGACGGCGACGCTGCCGAGGCCTGCGCTCGCCGAGAGCGCGGCGCGGGCGCAGTGGAACGCGGCCCTCAAGGAGCTCGACGCCATCGTCAGCGACTTCGACGCCATCCAGGGCGGCGGCGACGGCATCCGGCGGCGGCTCGGCACGGTGGGCACGACGTCGCCGCTGTTCCAGATCGAGAAGGCGTGCCAGAAGCTGCTCGGCGAGGCCGAGGACCCCGCCGAGTTCGCGGACGCGCTCGAGGAGTTCATGCTCGGCGTGGGCCGCGTCGACGGCATGGCCTACAGCAGCAACTTCGCCGGCGGCAGCGGCAAGCCGAGCGAGAACAGCGCCGCGACGTACATCGCGCGATCCAAGAAGGAGCTCGTCGTCCTCAAGGGCACCGCGGCGAAGATGGACAAGGCCCTCGGTAAGTAGGATCACCCGTATATTACTCGGGGCTCGCCCGCTTCGACTTGGGCGCGTCGCCGAGGAGCACGTCGAGGCGCGTGAAGCGCGTCCGGCGCGCGACGGACGTCGCGAGCGCGGGCGTCGACCGGCAGCCGCGGAGGTCGAGCGTGCGGAGCTCGGGCGCCTTGAGGGCCGCGTTGAGGAGGCGCTCGACGTGGCGCATGGTGAGGGCGTTGCTCCCGAGGTCGAGCGCGCGGAGCGGCGCGGCGCCCGGGGACGCGAGCCACGCGGCGACGGCGTTGACGCCCGGCGACCGCGCCGCGCCGAGCGCGTTGCGCGAGAGGTCCAAGATCTCGAGGTAGGGCGACGCCGGCTCGGGCGCCGCGTCGGCGAAGGCGTTGCCCGCGAGCTTGAGGGCCATGAGGCCCGGCCAGGCGCCGGAGAGAGGCGCGGCGCTCGCGTCCGTGAGGCCGTTGTCGCCGACGTCGAGGCTCTCGAGCGCCGGGAGCGCCCGCAGGGCCGGCGCGAGCGCGATGAGCCCCGCGTCGCGGCACCGCGTGTCGCGCAGGTCCACCACGAGGAGGGCCGCCGCGCCGCGGAGGCCCTCGGCGAACGCGGCCGCGAGCGTCGGTCCGAACGCCGCGCCCGCGAGCTCGAGCGTCGCGAGGTTCGCGAGCGCCGCGCGCTTCGCGAGGGCCTTGGCGACGCGCCAGCTGCCGTGCACGTCCCGCGCGTCGAGCGCGGCGGCCGCGTCGACGTCGTCCGCCGTCCGGGCCCGGCGCGCCGCGGCCGCGCGGTCGCGCGCCGCGGCCGCCTTCGCGGTCGCCTTCGCGTCCTTCGGGTAGAGCAGCGCGTTGAGCGCCAGGTCGCCGGCGACGAGATCCAGGAGCTCCGCCGCGTCGTCCGGCGGCGGCGGCGGCGGCGCGCCGGGCGCCGCCGGCGGCTTGAGGAGCTTCTCGGCCGCGTGGGCGCGTCGCGCGAGGCTCTCGTAGGCCCGGGCTTTGTGCTGTGCGCGGCCCCCGAAGCACTCAAGCGCCGCGGCGCCGCGGAAGGCGCCGTCCACGGCGTCGCCCGCCGAGGCCAGCGCGCCGCGGTAGTCGCCGCCGCGCGCGAGCGCGCGCGCGCGCGCGAGCGCGATTTCCACTCTCTGCCGCGCGACCGCGGCCGCGGCGACGCGCGCGGCCTCGGCGGCGTCGTCGCGATCGCCGCCGTCGTCGTCGTCGGAGTCGTCGTCGATTATGGTGTTTTGTTTCACGCCGGAGCCGTAGTCGCGGTGCCGCGCGCGCAATCGCTTCTTCGTGACGACCTCGAGCACGCCGCGCGGCGGCGGCGCGAAGATCGTCTCGCGCGCGCGGTTCCGCCGGAAGTCCCAGCGCGAGAAGGTCACGTAGCCCCGGCTCGGCTCCACCGTGCCGTCCGTGTTGAGGACGATCGCCGACCGCTCCAGCAGGCCGAAGACCGACGGCACGTTGCCGAGCTGCGTCAGCGGCAGGTCGGGCTCGCCCCAGCGCTTCACGGACGCCATGGCCTCGTCCACGATGAACCCCGGCGCGACGATCATCTGCTTGCCGCCGAACATGGTCATGGCGTCCCGCGATTCTAATTTTCGCGGCTCGTGGTCCTCGAGCCCCTTGACGGTCTCGTCGACGTGCCAGACCCGCCCGCTGAAGACGGACGCCCCGGGCCCGACGCCGACGAGCACGGCGCCCTGGAAGTGGCGCCACTTGATGGACTCGTCGATGCTGAAGCGCGTGAAGAAGCCGTAGACCTCCCAGGCGCCCAGGCTCAGCTCCGCGGCCGTCGCGCCGGCGACGCCGCCGCCGATGAGGATGACGTGCGCGCGCTCGAGGAAGGCGAGGTGGTCGTCCTTCGCCGGGCCGAGGCCGCCGATGGGCACGCGCTTGAAGGCCGTGCACCCGATGGACTCCATGGCCGCTCTCACCTCGTCGCGCTCCGCGTCCAGACCTTTTTGCACGTCGACGGACGGCGTCTTCCCGAAGGCGCAGGCCGCGGGCTGGATGAGGCACGCGTTGAGCTCCTCGCCGTCGTCGAAGTCCGGCGGGATCTCGCAGGCGATGCGCATGGCCCAGGGCAGCCCGCAGGCCTCGTCGACGAGGCGCAGCGTCGACGCCTCGCTCACGGCGATGATGGCCTGGCAGGGCCGGTCCTCGACCTTCTGCGTGTTGCTCGCCTTCCACCGCTCGTACTCCTGCCACGTGCTCACCTCGTGCACGCCCTGCGGCTTGTCCAGCAGCGGGCGCTGGTAGTAGCCCATGGCTTTTCGTGGCTCCAGACGACGCTGCCCCGAGAGGGAGAGGCAACACTGGTGCATCTTTCCGGCTCCACTCTACCCCGCCGTGGGATCTGCTGCTACGTCGCGAGGTTGCTACGTGAGCTGCTCGTGTTCGCGTCGCGAACGTCATAGGCTGTGGTCTCCGACCGTCGCAGCTTAGAGATCGCGCCGACGTCACAGGCTGCGTCGCGAGGTCGCAGGCCGCTTGCCCGCCGACCGCCATGGACTTTGGCTTCTTCTGCCGCGAGGTGCAGGGCCAGTGCATCGTCGTCGGCGGCGGCTACGCCGGCCTCACCGTCGCGCGGGATTTGTCCGCCGCGGGCGTGACCGTGACGCTCGTCGACAACAAGGACTACTGGGACTACTGCATCGCGGCGCCGCGACTCGTCGTCGCGCCGGACGAGGCGGCGGACTACACGCCGCCCTACGCGAAGATCTGCGAGCACCTCGGCGTCTGCTTCGTCAAGGGCAAGGTCGCCGCCGTGCGCGACGGCGGCGTGACGTTAGAAGGCGGCGTTTCCCTCGAGGCGCAGGCCGTCGTCGTCGCCGTGGGCAAGGGCTACGGATCCGTCTGGAAGGGCGACGAGGAAACGGCCGAGGCGCGCGCCGCGGCCTACGCGTCCGTCGCGGGCGAGATCGAGCGGGCGGCGAGCGTCGTCGTCGCCGGCGCGGGGCTCGTCGGCTGCGAGGTCGCGGGAGAGATCCGCTCGAAATTCCCGGAGAAGAAGGTGACGCTCGTCGGCGCGACGGCCGGCGGCTCGCAGAAGCTGCGGGACGCGACGGACGGCGCGCTCGCGGAGCTCGGCGTGACGCGCGTCGCCGGGCGCTGCGCGCGGGACGCGGCCGGCGCGGTCACGGCGGGGGACGAGGTCCTGGAGTGCGACTGCTACCTGGACTGCACGGGCACGACGCACCGCGCCGCGGCGCTCGTCGCCGACGAGTTCCCGGACGCCGCGGGCCCCGCGGGCGGCGTCGTCACGGAGGGCACGCTCGCCGTCAAGGGCGCCTACTCCGTCTTCGCCGTCGGCGAGTGCGTCGAAACGCCGAAGAACCGCTTCGTGCCGCCGTCCGGCGTGCAGCACGCGGAGGCGACGGCGGCGACGGTCGTCGCGAACGTCACTCGCTGCGTCCTCGCGGGCAAGGCCGCGTCCGTGAACCACGCCTGGGCAGCGGCGCCCGTCCTCGTGCCCTGCGTCTCGAGCTTCGGCCCGGACTGGGCCGTGGCGGACTTCGGCGGGCCGTACATGACCGCGAAGGCCGAGGGCTTCATCGGCAAGAAGGCCAAGTGCGGCAGCTTCTTCATGTTCAAGCTCGGCCCGGACTTCGGCAAGGGTAACACGTGGTAGGTCGATGGAGTCTGAGCCGAGCCGCGGCGCGCTGGTAGGGCGCGTGTCGATCGCGTCTTAGCCCAGCCGCGGCGCGCCGGCGCGCTCATAGGGTACGTTTCGATCGCGTCTTAGCCTAGCCGCGGCGCGCCAACGCGCGGTCCCCGGCGGCCGCCGCGCCCGAGACGTCGCCGCCGGACGACGCGAGGTCGACGAGGGGCACGTCCGCGTAGCTGTTGACGACCCTATGCATGAAGTCGAGGCGCCCCTCGAAGGCGCCCTTGACGTCGATGAGCTCCTCGCCCTCGCGGAGGCGCGCCGACGGCCCGCGGCCGAGGACCGGCGGTCGCTTGCTGAGGAAGAGCCGGGCGGTGCGCGCGATGGGCCGCCGAAAGACGACGGCGACGCCGCCCAAGAGCACCAGCGGCGCGACCGCGGGGGCCGCGCGCACGACGGCCGCGGCGATCAGAACACTCGCCGAGGCGATGTCCGCGTCGCGCTTTCGCAGCACTTGCGGCCCGCGGCGTCTAGCCGCTTTCGAGAGCGTCCGCTGCGGCGGCAGGACGTCGGCGAGCGTCGGTATGATCTGCTCGAAGGAAGGCGCGGCCGTGCGCCGAAGCGGCGAGGTCGTTGAACGTTGTAACGTCCTCGAATTCATCGGCGTGACGAGCGCGTAGCTGTTCCGAGCGAGGACGAGGACGAGGAGCAGGCGGAGGCGCGTGGAAGGCATGATTGCGTGTTTTGCGTGTCTCGTACGTTGCGAGAACGCTCTCAGACTTTTTTGCGTCGCGTCGACGCGCTTCAGAGTCGGTGCGCCGGCCGGGAATGCCTCGGCTCGGCCAACTTCAGCTGGTTCAAGCTGTGAACGATGCCGCAGGCGGGCGGGGCTGCCTTCGCGCAATATTGCAATGGCCGCCATGTCCGCCATGTCGAGCGCGACGGCCAACGAGCTGCTGAAGGACGGCAAGCCGGAGGAGGCGCTCGCGACGCTCCGGGAGGCGCTCGAGAAGCAGCAGGACGCGGCGCCTCGCGCCAGGTCCACCCTCCTGGCCAACGCGGGCCTCTGCCTCGAGCAATTGGGCCGCCTCGACGAGGCCGTCGCGTCCCTGGAGGCGGCCCTGGAAGCCGACGACACCAACGAGGCCGCCACACGAATTCTGCGGCAGTTGAAAGCCTCCCAGCTGCTCGCGCTCGCGGTCAAGGCCGCGGAGGCGAGCAGGTTCTCGGAAGCGCTGGGCCTCTTCGAGGCCGCAGGCGCCGCGGACGACGCCGACGACGCCTGGCGCTACAACGCGGCGGTCATGCTCAACAAGCTAGGCCGCTACGGCGAGGCTCTCGCGCACGTCGAAGCCTTCCGCGCGGGCGGCGACGAGGACCGGTCGTCGCTCGCGCTCTTCGGCGAGCTCCTGTGCAAGGCCGGCCGCTGGGCCGACGCGCGCGCCGCGCTCGCCGAGGCCGTCGCCGCGGGCCTGGACCTGCCGACGAGCCTCTACTACAACTACGGCGTCGCGTGCCTCAAGTGCGAGGACCTCGCCGCCGCGCGCGCGGCCTTCGAGGAGCTCATCGCGTACGCGCCGAACTACGGCCTGGCGTACGACGCGCTCGCGACGATCGACGCGCGCGAGGGCGCCGCGGCCTGCCAGCGCGGCGACTTTGGCGCCGCGATCCCGCTGCTCTCCGCCGCCGCGGGGCGCACGCCCAAGGGTTCCACGCAGCGTCCCGCATCCGCGACGAATTTTTGGGGGTGGGAAAACGATGAAACATCGTTACCGACGTGCTTGGTAGGCACGACGCTCTACAACCTCGGGCTCGCCCTGCTCAAGGAGCGGCGCGCGCCCGAGGCCGAGCGGACCTTCGCGCGGCTCGAGGAGTCGGAGCCGGACCACGCGCGCGGGGGCCGCGTCCGAGGTCGCACCGACGTCGTTCCAACGCCCCCCCCGCGCCGCAGGCACGCCGCGTCCGCGCGCGCCGCGGCCAAGGCCATGGTCGAGTCCGGCGACTACGTCGCCGGCGACGGCGGCGGCGGCTCCGCGGCGCCGGGCTTCGCGCCGAAGCGGCGCATCTACGAGCTCGCGGCGGAGAAGGGCGCGGGCGCGCGCCGGCGCCCTTCGAGCGACGTCTGTTCCGGGAACGCGATTGGTTTCGAGAGAAACCGAGAGCCGCGACGAAACAAACGTCGGTTCCGGGAACGCGATTGGTTTCGAGAGAAACGGAGAGCCGCGACGAAACAATGTCGGTTCCGGGAACGGGATTGGTTTCGAGAGAAACCAAGAGCTGCGACGAAACAACGTCGGTTCCGGGAACGCGATTGGTTTCGAGAGAAACGGAGAGCCGCGACGAAACTTAACCATCATAGGCCAGCTCGCGGCCCAGGACGACATGGTCAACCTGCTGAGCGGCATCGAGGAGTGGGTCGCCGGCGAGCTGGGCCCGCTCGGGTCGCGCGTCGAGGCCGTCGAGGCCGCGGCCGAGGCCGCGGGCGGCGTCGTCGGCTCCGCTTCCGAGGACCGCGCGGTGCTCGCGCTGCTCTTCGACCGCGTCCAGAGTCTCGAGGAGGCGGCCGTCGCCGCGCCGCCGCCGGAGGAGGCGGCGCCCGCGGCCCCGCCGCCGCCGGCCTTCGCCGCGCGCTTCGACGCGGCCGCGGCGTCGCGCGCGGCGACAGCGTCCGTCGGCGGCCTCGACAGGCGCGTCCGGGCCCTCGAGCGGCTCGTCCTGGGCCACGCGGCCGGCGCCCAGCGGGCGCCGCCGGGCGGCGGCCTCGGCGGCGGCCTCCTCGCCGACGGCGCCGCCGACGGCGCCGCGGCGGCGCCCGCGGACGCGGCGTCGATGTCGGTCACCGCGCGCCTCGCGGTCCAGGAGGCGCGCGTCGCGAAGATGCAGCAGGACATGGAGGCCATGGCGGGCCAGATCGCGGCCCTGACGCGCGACCTGCAGTCGGGCGGCCGCCCGGCGCACCCCTTCGGCGCCGGCGGCCCGGCACCGGCGGGCCTCCGGAAGGCGGGCGGCCCCGCGCGGGGCCACCCGCTCGCGGCGGACCGGGGGCCCGACATGATCGCCGAGCTCAAGGCGGCGACGCAGCGGCGAGCGGCGAAGCGCCGCGAGCTCGGGCTCACGCTCCTCGAGTAATTTATCGCCGGACGGGGAACGGCCGGGTCCTCGGGTCCGCCGCGGCGCCGTCCGCGGGGTAGCCCTTCTGCTGGTAGTCGACGCCGTCCTTGGGCCCGTTGTAGACGCCCTCGCCCGGCCGCGGCCCCGGCTGGTCGTCGCCGGCGATGCCCCGCCAGGCCGTCGGGAACTCGCGCATGTACCACGGCCGCCGCGGCTCCTCCCACCGCTGGCACGCGGCCCAGCGCGTCGCCATGGAGAAGAACGTCGACTCGTCGGGCCGCCCGACGTAGCCGCGGATGCGCTGGACGTGCGTCGTCAGCGTCGAGAACCACGTCCCCGTGAACGCGCGGCCCTGGGCGGCGACGAGCACGTCGACGAGGCCGTGCTCGTTGCGGCCGACGGCGGCGACGGCGGCGGCCTCGGCGGGCGTCATGGACACGCCGTTCCAGTCCTTGGCGTACTTGAGGGGCAGGGGGCCCGTCGCGTTGCGCCGCGCGCGCGTCGACGCGAGGATCGCGTCCGACAGGAGCACGACGCGGTGCCCTCGGTGGCGGATCGCGTCGAACGTCGCGCGGTCCGGCGCGTCCGTGGCCACGTACAACGCCTCGCGCGCGCCCAGGGACCGCCCCACGGCGTCCCGCAGCGTCTCCGCGGCCAGGTTGCCGCTCTCGCCGAACTGGAACTCGTTCATCCGCGCGTGCAGGCTGCTAAAGGCCGCGTCCGCACCCGGCACCGCGGGCCCGCCCATGCGCCCGAGCCAGGTCACGATGGCGGCCGCGGCGCAGGTCACGGCGTCGCTGTGGCGCACGACGTCGCGCACGAGCCGCTTGTAGAAGTTGTTCGCCGCCGGGTCCACGTCGGCCGCGTACGCGTAGAAGGGCGTCAGCAGCCGCCCGGCGCGGTCGACGTGCTTCGCGTCGGCGCCGTGCGTCTTCCAGCCCGCCGTGCGCAGGTGGACCACGGCCCGCGCCAAACGGTTGTCCCGGAGCTCCTTGTCGCCGTCGACCTGGGCAGGACAAGAGTGCGACATTCCCAACTTCAGAGGCTCCTATCTCGGTCGTTTTCCGCTCGTTTCGGCTGATTTTTGGACGAGCGATCATCTCTCGGAGCGCTCTCGAAGCGTGGGTGCTGTTTCCGAAACGCGCGCGCGCGGAACACTCACGTTGAAGCGACGTTGCATCACCCTTTTCCTGCCCTGCCGTCGACGGGTTCGCGCCAGAGCCGCGCCAGGCCGTCGCGGCGCCACTCCGGCGGGTCGTAGCGCAGCTTCGCCACCCGCGCCTCCGTGAAGTCGTCCCCAAAGACGCGCTGCGCCCGGGCCTTGCCGAAGATGACGACGCCGCCCTCCGTGTCCGGCACGAAATCCGCGACGAACGACGCGTCGAGCCACTCGTAGAGCGGGAAGCAGCTATCCGTCGCCTTGTGGCGCGGCGTGCACCGCGCCGCCGCGTTCGTCACCTTCTTCCGCGGCGGCCACTCGACGTCGTCGGCGAGGCGCCCCTCCGCCGCGAGCCGCGGGAGGATTTCGGCGAAGAACTCCTCGGACGATATCACGCGCGCGCGGCTCCGCGCGGCCAGGAGCGGCGGCGCGAAGTCCGCGAGGCTGTACTCGCAGCCGCCCTCGGCGGCCTTGCACGCCGTCAGCAGGTAGTAGCTCTGCACCGGCGGCAGCACGAGCACGCGGCCCGACGCGCGCGCGAGGACCAGCGCGGTCTCGAGGCTCAGCCGCACGTTGTTCCAGCCCCCGAAGTCCGGCACGAAGGTGAGGTAGGCCTCCACGTCGTAGGCCGGCACGGCGCCGGCCGGCGCCGGAACCTCGGCGTCGGCCCAGTAGCGCATGGCCGCCGGCACGGCGACGCCGCACGCGCGCGCGTCGTCCTCCTCCTCGGCCGGGCCCGGCCCCGCGGCGGCCGCGAGCGCGCGCAGCGACGCGCCGAGCGCGGCCTTCTCGTGGCGCTCCGCGGCGCTCGCCGCGGCGGCGCTCGCCGACGCCGCGCGCTCCGCCGCCGCCGCCGCGCGCGCCGCCTCGGCGACGACCTCGCGCGTCGCCGCTTCGCGGTGCAGGGCCGCGATGCTGAAGACGGCGTAGCCGGCGCAGAGGCCGACGGCGAAGGGCAGCACGGAGGACCCGCGCATTGCGTCGACGCAGCGGCGATTGCGACTCTAGCAGCCGCGCATCGCGCGTCGAGGCGCTGCAGGCGCCTGCGGCGCGGGCAGCCTCGGATGAGGCAAGCAGTCGACGTTGGCCCGGCCACCTCGAGCATGAGCGCAGCCGAAATGGCTCAGGAAGGCGCCGCCGCCGACGGCGCGCCGCCGCCCGTCACCCCGTCGCCGGCGAGCGACAAGTCGCCGCGCACGCCGACGCCGTCGCCGAGCGACGGGCCGGACGCCGTCGTCGCCCTCGGGCTCAGCTACGCGACGCACCTCGTCGGCGCCCTGTCGACGGTGAAGCGGCGCGGCGCCGAGGCGCAGACCGAGTGCGGCGAGCTCGCGCGCGCCATGAAGGACCTCGCCGCCGTGGAGAAGACCTACGCCCAGGGCCTCGCGGCCATCGCGGGCCGTCTGGAGGCCGCGCTGCAGACCGAGGACGACGGCGCGGACGTACCGACGCGCGAGGCGCTCGCGCGCGTCGCGTCGAACCTGCGCGGGTCGTCGGAGCAGCACGGCGACCTCGCGGCCCACGTCGCCATGGACGTCGCGCGGCCCCTCGCCGCCGCGCGCGGCGAGGCCGCGGCGACGGCGGCCGAGTGCGTGAAACGCGGCGTGTCGACGCAGCGCGCGGTCCGCGGCGCGGACGACCGCTACCGCCGGGCCCTCGCCGCGTACCGGCACAAGCTCACGGACGCGGCGGCGAAGGCCGACGCCGCCGTCGAGGCCGGCGTGCCGCCCGCGGCCGTCGACGCCGAGGTCGCGGCGGCGGCCGCGCGCGCGGCGGCCGCGGGCGCGCCCGAGGACGACGACGCCGCGCGCGCGCCGCCCGACGAGCCCGCGAGCCCCGACGAGTCCAGCGCCGCGGGCATCCTTGCCTCGGCGCCGTCGGAGACGGAGAAGAGGCACGCGCTCCGCTGGACGAGCCGCCTCACGTCGACGCTCTCCGGCAGGGCGCTGTGTGGAAATCAAATCTTCAACCCGACCTCAATGTGAGCAGATGCGACGGTTTTGACGCGAGATCTTCTGCCGTGCTTCGAGAACTCAATGAGAGCAATCGATTCGTCCAAAAATCAGCCGGATCGACTTCGATGTGACCGAGATAGAGAGTTCTGAAGTTTGGCGGGGACCCCCCAAACCAGTGGTCGATTTCCACACAGGCAAGGCGTCCGCGCTCGGCTCGTCCGCGTCCGCGGCCATGGGCTTCGCGTCGCCGTTGCGGCCCAAGGAGCCGTCGCCGAAGCAGGCGCACCAGAACAAGAAGCTCGAGCAGTGGCTCCTGCCCACGGAGGCCGAGCGGCGCGCGGCGCTCGCGGGCCTCGCCGCGCAGGCCGCGCGCGACGCCGCGGCCGCGCGCGCGGACGCGGACGACAAATGGGCCGAGCTGCGCAACGAGAGCCGGGCCTGCGCCCTCGAGGCCCAGCGCGTCCTCGCCGAGTACCAGTGCGCCGAGGAGCTCGTCGTCGACGAGATCCGCGACTCGCTCCGGAAGCTCTGCGTCTTCGAGAGCTCCGCGCTCTCGAACCGCAAGTACGACCTCCAGGCGCTGACGAAGGTGCTCGACGACGTGCTCCCGGCGACGCAGCTCAAGGCCTTCGTGCTCGCGACGGCGCCCGGCGACGTCGGGGACGGCGCGCCCGTCGTCGTCCACGCGGCGACGCTCTTCGCGCACGAGCGCGCGTCGCTGTCCACGGCCATGGCCGACGCGTCGACGACGGAGTTCAAGAGCGCCCTCTTCTCCAAGGCCGGCTACGGCGCACCGGCGGACGTCGGCGCCGGCGACGCGCTGCCGTCGCCGGCGGCCGTCGCCGCGGACCCCGAAAACGCCGCGGGCGCCGCCGATGACGACGTCCGCCGCGTGCCGCTGCCCGTCGCGCCGCCGGCCGTCGGCGCCGCGGCGCTCGGCGACCTGGACCTCGTGCGCGCCGACGCCTGCTTCGCGCTGTTGGAGGAGGCGCAGCGCCGCGCGGACGCGGACGACGAGGCGCGGACGCCCGAGCCCGAGCCCTTCCGCATGCCCCCGCGCGTGCCCACGTCGCCCGCGCACCTCGAAAACGCGCGCGCGCCGACGACGCCGGGCGGCGGCCTCGCGCCCGACGACCTCCACGTCGACGACGACGCCGACGAGAGCGACGACGACGACCCGGCCAGCCCCCGAGGCTCCGAGGACCACGGCCGCGATGCTTGCGGTGTTGGCGACGACGTGGCGGAGGCGGCGGGCGAGGCGGAGGCGGGCGAGGTCGAGGAGGCGGAGGAGGCGGACGACGACGGCGGCGGCCCGGACGACGACGGCGGCGCGGACGACGACGGCGCGGACGGCGGCGCGGACGGCGCGGATCCCCCGGATGATGCGGCGGATCCCCCGGATGATGCGGCGGACGCGGACGCGTGATGCGACGCGCAGGCGTGGCGTGTAAGAGGCCGTGTAAGGCTGTCGGGACGTGTCTGCGAGGCGGCGACCTGATCGAAATCTCGCTGGAGCCTGAGCTCCGCCACGCCCAAGAGCGTCCTCGGGAGCCTCGCGTCCGTCACGAGCACGGCGGCCTGAGCCGCGGCGCCGCGACGTAAAAACAATTCGGCGATTACGGCGAAATCACTTGCAGCAGGACGCGTCCCGCGCGACGGGCCGCGCGTGGAGCTCGTCGAGGACGACGGTCTGCCGCTTCTGCTCGGGCTCGGCCGCCTGGCGCCGCCGCTTGTTCTCGAGGGCGAGCATGGCGACGGCCTCCATGGCGACGGCGACGCCCGTGCCGTCCTTGGCCGACGTGAGGCAGAGGCCGATGCCGAGGTCGCGGCACCAGCGGACGACGGCGGCCTGCTCGTGCTCCCGCGTCTTGTTCGGCACGTCGACCTTGTTCCCGACGACGACGACGGGGAACTCCTCGGGCGGGCCGTCGATGCGCTGGAGCAGCTCGCGGCGCCACATCTCGATCTGCTCGAAGGTCCGGATGTCCGTCGTGTCGTAGACCAAAAGCGCCGCGTCGGCGCCGCGGTAGAACGCGCCGCCGAGCGTGCCGTGGTGGAACCGCTCCTGGCCCGCCGTGTCCCAGATGACGAGGCGCACCTCGCGGTCGCCGAGGTGGAGCACCTTGGACGCGAAGTCCGCGCCCGTCGTCACGCGCCGCGCGGGCGTGAACTTGCCGTGGACGAACTGCATGAGCAGCGACGTCTTGCCCACGTTGCTGCTTCCGAGGACGACGCACTTGAGCAGCGTCGCCGCGGGCTTCGCGTCGCCCATGGGGGTGCGGGGGGGGGGAGGCGCCCCGGTCGAGCGCCGACGCGTCGTCCAGGTCGGGGGGGGAGGAGGCGCCCCGGTCGAGCGCCGACGCGTCGTCCAGGTCTTTCTCCACAACCGATTCTTGAACCTTTCTTTACTTCGCTCTCTCGAGGCGCTGCGCGCAACAGCGTCGGGCAGCCCTCTCCGCGTCCGCAGCCCGACCGCCGTCCGCGCCGACTCTCGGGCCAGCCTCCGAGCCGCGCCGTCCTCCGCGGCGCGGGGCGCCATGGGCAAGGGCGGCATGGCCAAGAAGAAAAAGGGCAAGAAAGGCAAGGGCGGCGACGACGCCGACGGCGGCGACGCGCCGTCGACGCAGGCGCCGCCGCCGCCGTCCATGCTCATGCCCGACGTCGAGAACTACGTGACCCTCGAGCTGAACCTCATGAACTGGCGCTTCATGAACTTCAAGCTGCGCCTGAAGACGGAGACGCACCTCTTCACCGTAAAGAACGCGCTCTCGGAGCGGCACGGCCGCATCAAGGACCTCGTCATCTGCAAGGACTCCTTCGCGGAGAAGAACGAGCTCCGCGAGGACATGAAGACCCTCGCGGACTACGGCATCTTCGGCGCGCCCGAGGACAAGGACCCCGTGAGCGTCCAGATGTACTACGAGTTCAAGCCCTGCGACCACGACGACCCGCTGCTCCTCCACATGGGCAAGGGGTAGCGCGCTAAGCCGTGCGGCGAGCGTGCGTCGGTCGCACCGCCCGAGGCGGGGGCGTCGCGGTCCGGGCGCCGCCGGGAGGACGGTCGCGCCAGCCGTTGAACTGCAACATCATGTGATATAGATCTAACATGCTGCCCGTCGGTCGAAAAGACGCTCTCAATCGATCTGAACGTCGCGCGATGGCGGCGTCGGTCTGCGGCACCGAGGCCGACGTCCTGCCGACGGAGGAGCGCAAGTACGACCACGAGATGTCGACGCCGCTCCAGTGGGAGCAGCGGGCGGCGGCGTGGTCGCACCAGACGCCGCGCATCCAGAACCTGGCCAAGGCGCTGCCCCTCATGAGCAAGGGCGAGGAGGCGACGTTCAAGATCATGGTGAAGAACCTCTGCGAGCTCGCCGGGCCCGAGGTCTGGCGCCAGACCGTCGACGCGCGCCAGCGGTCCGTGCTCTGGCACGCGGTCGACGTCGAGGACGACGCGGCCGTCGAGATCCTGCTGGCGTACGGCGCGGGCGACGACGAGCGCACGCTCCAGAGCTGCCGGGCCCTCTCCCACGAGCGCAACATGTTCTCCATCGCCGCGCAGCTCGGCGCGCCCATCTCCGAGGACACGTTCCACGGCAACGTCGACGAGTCCGCGTGCTGCCACAGCGCCATGTCCTACCAGGGCTCGGAGAACTGGAGCCTCTTCATGCGCGCCCGCCGCGTTCCTCTGTTTGTTTTTCGAGCGCGACCATGGTCGACGCCCCCGCAGGTGCTGCGCGCCGCAGCAGGATCCGGAGTACCTCACGCTCCACTTCCAGAACAACGAGGCCGAGGAGCTGTCGCCCTTCCACGTCCCCGACGACGTCGAGGTCTGCGGGCCCCAGGAAAACAACCCGCCCTTCATGCGATAACGGCGCGCGCGCGGAGGCTCGCGGCGGCGAATTAGAATAAACTCCAAGCGCACTTTGTTTGAAGCGTTGCAAGGCCCTCGTGCGGCCATATTTTTCCTGGGAGCAGCCCACGTCGATCATGGCGACGGGCGCGGGCTTCCGCGTCGTGGAGTCGAGCGCCCTGGACGCGCCCGAGCCGTCGACGGCAAAGAGGGTGAGCGCGCTCCACCTCAAGAACCTGGAGACCATCATCAAGGACAAGGAAAAGTACAAAAAGTCCCAGTCGCGCGCCGACGGGTCGTCGAGCACGCCCATCGCCCAGAATTCGGCGGCGATGATGGACATGATTCGCCAGGCGCGCGGATCCGACGAGCCCTCGCGGGCCAGCGCCTGGTCCGCCGGCGGCGGCGAGAAGCCCGCGGCGCCGCGGCCCGAGCCCGACGTCGGCGGCCTCCCTCCCGCGGCGGCCGCGGCCGTGCGGCGCGTCGCCGCGCGCGAGGCGACGGAGCGACCCGCCGTCTACAACCCGCGGTCCGCCGAGGCCGACGCCATCAAGGCCGCCGCGGAGCGGCGCGCGGCCGCGGCCGCCGCGCGGACCCGGGGCGGCCCCCCGCGCGGCCCCCGGCGCGGCGGCGGCGACGCCGGCGGCGGCGACGCGGGCGCGCTCCGGTCCGCGGCCGCGCGGCTCGCCCAGCCGCCGCTGCCGCCCGACGGCGCCGGTGGCAAGGCGCGGCGCTACGAGCGGTGGTCGGCCGGCGGCGAGGCGCCGGGCCGCGGCTCGAGCAAGGCGTCCGCGGCCGACGTGCTCCAGGCGCGGAACATGCGGATCCGCGCGGAGCTGGCCGCCGACGTCGCGGCGGCGTCCGAGACGCGCGGCGCGCCCGCGGGCGACCGGCCCGGCGGCGAGCGCCGGGAGGCGACGCAGCGCTTCATGAAGGCCCAGACCCGGCTCGCGACGATCGACGCGCTGCGGAGCCACGGGCAGACGGTCCGCGCGGACCACTTCGTCGCCGACGACGACGAGCCGGCGCACCGGGCCGGGGCGGACCGCGGCGGCGACACGACCCTCGGCATCTTCGGCGACGGCGGCATCTTCGACTTCGACTACAGCGACGACGAGGACGGCGTCCTCGACGGCTCCATCTTCGACGACCCGCGCGCGGTCGTCGGCGGCACGCGCGACGCCGCCACGGGCCGGCGCCCCGCGCGGCGCCAGCAGAGCGCGCGCCAGCCCGCGCCGAAGCGCGACGTCGCCGCGCCGCGGCCCCGCGGCCCGGGCCGGCCCGGGAAGGCGGACGCGGAGCTCAACGGCAACGGCGACGACCTCGTCTCCTTCATCTTCTGCTCGTCGGCCTTCGAGGACGCCGACTCCGACTCCGACGACGAGCCCGTCGAGCTCGACGAGGACGACGGCACCTACATCCTCGGCTACCGCATCGCGTGACCGCGCGCTTTTTTATCGTGTACATGGGCCCTAGAGGCCGTAGAGTTCCATCGCCGTGCCGGCGTAGACCCGGTCCCGGTCCGCGCCGTAGACGCCGAGCGCGCCGAGGGCGTCGTCGACGGCGTCGAGCATGGGCCCGTACGCGGAGCCCGCCGACGCCGGATCCGCGGGGAACGCCTCGAGCACGAACCAGTTGCCCGCGTAGTTGAGCCGCGCCGTCGAGAACGCGTCGAGCGCGACGCGCACGGCGGGCACGAAGTCGGCGGCCGTCCAGCCCGGCGCCGCGAAGGTCTGGGGCAGCCCGGACAGCTTGCAGTAGACGTTTTCGAGCTCCGCGAGGCGCCGGAGCGCCGCGGCCCAGGACGCCATGCCCGTGGCGTTGGCGAGGGGCGGGTAGCCGAGGTGGTTGAGGTTGAAGGTGCAGTTCGGCGCCGCGGCGGCGAGCGCGCGGAGGTCGTCGAGCTGCGAGGCCGCGACGAGCGCGTCGAAGGGGAGGCCGAGCGCGCCGACGCCGCGGAGCGCCGCGACGACGTCGGGGTCGCGGAAAAAGGACGGCGGCTGGTGCCATAATCCCTGGCGCACGCCCAGGAGGCCCGGGAACGACGCCTTGAGCGCCGCGACGGGCGCCGCGCCCGCCTCGAGGTCGACGCCGCCGACGAAGCCGCGGACGGTCGTCGCGCCCTTCCTTCCGGAGGCGTCCGCGACGGCCTGGTAGAATCGGGCTTCGGCGACGATCTCGGCCTGGCTCGACGCGTTCTTCTTTTCTAAGGTCATCAATATCGCCTGAATCTCCGCTCCCTCGAAGCGGCTCGAGGTCGTGGCTCCTCGAAAGTCGGCCATGGACCACGACTTGTTCAGATTCGGGAACATGGCGGGAAACCCGTAGTCGATGCCGAGCGTCAGGTCCGCATTGTGGACGTGCGTGTCGATGAGCAGGCGCGCCTCGGCGCACGCGACGGCCAACAGGATGGCGCGCATGCCGAGCCTTGGGGGTTCAAGCACCGCTTCAAGCAGAGACTCTTTTCTTCTCCAAGTACGATGGCTGCCCATCGGTTCTGAAAGATGGACCCGCTCGCCGGCTGGGCCCGGGTGCCCATCAAGCCCTCGAAGGAGGACGCGTCTCTGCTGCGCCGACGGCGGCGCCTGGGCGCCGGCGCGCTGCTCGCCGTCGTCAGCGCCGGCGCTGGGCTCGTGCTCCAGGTCGCGAGCGCCTTCGCCTGGTTCGACGCCGGCGCCGTCGTCGCGCACACGGCCTGGGCCGCGGTGTCCGTGGACGCCTTCGGCGTGACGCGGTTCTACGGGCTCCGCGCCTGGGTCGCGGGCGACGCCGTCGCGCCCTGGTCGGCGTGCGAGGCGAATTACGACGCCAAGGTCGCGGCCGTCGAGGCGGGCCCGCTGCTCACGACGGCCGAGGAGCGCCACGTGCTCCTGGGCATCGACGCGGAGCGCGACGAGTGCGCGTCCTGCGCGGCGGCGGCCGACGGCGTCGTGTCCCTCGCGCTCGCCGCGCTGCCGCTCGCAACCATGGCGCTCTACTGCGCGTTCGTCCGGTGGACGCGGCGCCGCGAGACGCGCACGGCGCGGTACCTGGCGATCACGGCGTCCCTGGGCACCATGGCCCTGCTCACCTGCGCCGTCCTGCGGTTCCACGCGGCCTGCGCCGCGACGAAGGCCGTCGTGGCGGCGGGCGACGGCGCGCTCGTCGCCGCGGACGCGGCCTACGACTGGGGCCCGGGCAGCTACCTCGCCTTCGTCGCCGTCGCCCTGCGCGCCTGCGACCTCATCGTCTTCAGCGTGAGCCCCATCGGGGCGCGGGCGCCGGCCAAGGTCGCCGACGACGCGGAGCTCGGCGCGCGGCTCCTCGCGCCGCCGCCTCCGCCGCCGCCGGACCGCTCGCCGTCGGCCTGGAGCCCGACGACCAACGCCCTGCGCGCGGCGACGTACCAGTCCCTCCCCTTTAGCCGCGAGGACTAGAGGTCGGCGCAGGCGAGGAGCCGGTGGGGCCCGACGCCCGGGAGCGCGACGCCGGGGGGCAGCGACCCCGCGACGCCGCCGCCGGCCTTGACCCGCGGCTTGCGCGGCGCGTCGGGCGTCAAAAAGGCCGGGAGCGCGTCGTAGGCCCTGTCGGCGCACTCGAAGCGCTTCACGTCGCCGGAGAGGAGGCCGTCCGTGACGAGGTTGTGCAGCACGACGTACGTGTCCCAGGCCGACACGTGCTTGCGGGACTTGATCCACTGGCGGAAGGCGTAGATGTCCCGCTTCTCCGCCTCCATGCCCGGCGTCTGGCAGGGCCGGTCGTTGCGCGCGCAGTCCGCGAGCGGCACGATGTGCTGCGTCGCGCGCGAGCACTGCACCTGGGCAGCAAAAGGGTGATTCAACGTCGCTTCAACATGAGTGGTCCGCGCGCGCGAGTTACGGAAAAAGCATCCACGCTTCGAGGCCGTTCCGAGAGATGATCGCTCGTCCAAAAATCAGCCGAAACGAGTGAAAACTGGCCGAGATATGAGCCTTTGAAGTTGGGAATTTCGCTCTCTTTTGCTGCCCTGCACTGCACGTTCGCGCAGTACGCGAGGTCGTGGTGGACGGCGTCGAAGAGGAAGGGGTGGAAGAGCTTGCCGTGGGGCGGCGTCGCGAGGAGGCGGAAGTGGTTCGTGCACGCCGCGCACTGCGTCGCGCCGCCCGCGAGCAGCTTCGTCGTGCTGTCGAGGAACGCGTCCTGGAGGCCCTTGGCGTCGGCGCGCGCCGCGAGGGCGTGCAGGCTCACCCAGAAGGAGCAGGCGCGGTCCCAGGACGACGGCCGGCAGGCGCCGAGGCTCGCGCGGTCCGCGACCTTCGGCCGCCGCGCGAGCTTCTCGTCGGTGACGTTGCCGACGCGCCAGGCCTCGAAGGCGAGCTCGCGGTCGAAGGACGCCGCGTCGAAGGCGCCGGGGAGGCAGGCCCAGGACGCGCGCGCCGCCGCGGCGACCTCGGCGGGGAGGCCGCCGTGGGCCCGGTCCCCGTCGCTCGGCGCGCGCACGGCGTCGCCGATCGCGGCCCGGCACTCCGCGAGCGGGTGGATCTGCGGCAGGAGCTTCGCGAGCCGTTCCGCGGCCTCGACGACGACGGCGCGGTCGCCGTCGAGGAGGAAGACGCCCGCCGCGCCCGCCGTCAGGAGGTCGTGGATCCCGTGGAGGTCGTTCGCGACGACCGACGATATGGGCAGCGCGTCGGGCACGTAGTGGTGGCAGTAGAGGTGGTAGCCGAGCACGCCAAAGGCCAGCAGCGCGAAGACGACGACGGCGGCGAGCGGCGGGCCGCCGGGCTCGAAGTTCGGGTCCCGCGGCCGCCGCGCCTTCTTGCCCTTGAGGCCCCGGGCGCCGCGGCGCAGCGGCGGCACGGCCGGCCGCTTCACGGGCGGCGCCTCGAGCGCTTCGATGGACGGCGCGTCGCTCTTCTCCCAGCCGCCGCCGGCGGCGTCCGACGCGGCCGCGTGGCGCCGCTGCATCGCGACGCGCCGACGACGATGGAGTGAGGCTGCCCCCGAATGTGTTTTCAGCTAGGCTAGGAGAGGTTAACAGCTAGAGGGCCTCCCCCAGCACTTGCTTCAACAAGGAGAGTTATTAAAGCGGTGAGCAATGGAGGCCACTAAAAGCAAGCATAGGTCTGAAACAGCAGCTCCGCCGAGATAGCCCGCATGGGTGAAACGTGGCTCGGGCCCGTGCAGGCGAGCTCGCGGCCGGCCGCGGCGCCGACGCGCGCTCGAAAACCCACGCACGATGCGAGCACGCCGGCCGTGATCGTCGTAGGCTGCGCGCGCAACTGCGCCAAGGACCTTCCGGCCTGCCTGCGCACCCTCGAAGGCGTCGCGCGCGTCGCCACCGACTGCTGCGGCGGCGGAGGCCCGGCGGGCTGGGTGCTGTTCGAGAACGACTCGGACGACGGCACGCTCGCGGTCCTCGAGGCCTTCCGCCGCGCGGGCCCGCGGCGCCACGTCGTGTCGGAGGTCGGCCTCGACGCGTGGCTGCCGAAGCGCACGCACCGCCTCGCCCACGGGCGCAACATGCTCCTGCGGCGCGTCGAGCTCCTGGGCTGGCTCGCGGGGGCGACGCTGCTCGTGATCGCGGACCTCGACGACGTGAACAAGGTCGTCGACCTCGGCGGCGCCGCGATCGCCTGCGGCCTCGTCGCAGGCGGGTCCCTCGACGTCGCGACGGCGAACCAGCCCCGCCGCTACTACGATCTGTGGGCCCTGCGCACGGCGCGCGCGCCGGGCAACAGCTGGGCGCGCGCCGCGCGCTACGACGCGAACCGGTACGCTGCCGGGCTCTCGTTCTTCTTCCCGGAGATGTCCCACGGCGCGGACGCGCTGCCGGCGACGGGCGACCCCGTCGAGGTGCTGAGCGCCTTCGGCGGCCTCGGCGTCTTTTCGTGCGCGGCGCTCCGCGACCGCGGCGACCCGGGCCGGCTCGCGCCGGGCCTCGTCTACGACGGCCGCGACGCCGCCATGGCGCCGGGCGCGTGCTTCCCCTGGCTCGAGGGCCAGGACTGCGAACATTGCGCTTTTTTCGCGGCGCTGCGCGCCCATCGCGGCGGCGACCTCCGCGTCGCTATCGTGCCCCAGCTGCTCAACTGCGGCGACCAGGCCGCGAAGGACGGCGCGTCGAAGCAGCTGACGGACGCGCTCCTGAAATCCATGCTGCCGGGCTAAGGGCGGGGGACGTGTTTAAGGGTCCAGGGGGGGGGGGGGGGGACGATCGAGGCGACGGCCGGGCGACGTTCGCGAGATCCTCGAACTCGCCGGCGGCGCGGATCATTTCATGGACTTCGAGATCGCGATGCCCGCGGCCGCGGCGGCCGCGCCAATGAGAGCCACGGCCTCGGCCGCGTGGAGCGCGTCCGCGGCGCCCGAGGACTTGGCCTTCGCGCCGTCCTTCCCGAACCCCTTCCAGTCCGCGTCGGCGCCCGTCATGGAGACGCGCTGGACCGTCGCGACGGGGATCTCCTGCCGCATGCTGTTCCTGCGCACCGCCGCGACGTACTGCTCGGTGTAGGGCTGCGCGGCGCCGACGACCTGGCCGCTCGGCAGCGCGCCGCCGCCGACGACCTGGGCGACCGGGCCCGCCGCCGCCCCGGCGACGACGGGGTTCATCGGCGGCGCGCCGGGCGCCATCGCGGCGACGCCGACGACCTGGCCCGCGACGGCGGCGTCGCGCTGCATCTGCGGCGACGTCGGCGCCGCGAGCTGATTCCCCGCGGCGAGCTGGTTGAGGGTCGGCACGGGGATCGACGTCGCCTTCGGCGACGAGGGGTCCGGGTCCATCGCCGCGGTCGAGAGCCCGGGCGGGACCTGGACGAGGATCGTCGCCGGCGGCGGATTCGGCACCTGCACGACGAAGGCGCCCCCCCTGCGGCGCCAGGACCTGGAGCCGCGCGCCGGGCGCCATGCCCGGGGGCACGGGCACGTGCACGCAGGGCGTGTCGGCCGGCCCCAGCGGCAGCGCCTCCCAGTAGGCCGTCTTCGAGTCCGGCTTCGGTCTTGGCGCCGGCCCGCCGAAGATGCCGCGGAGCGCCTTCCCGGCGAGGTTCTCGAGGCCGGACTTGAGCGAGCCGTCGCCGCCTTCCCGCAGCACGAGCGCCGTCGCCGGCGGCGCCCAGGAGAACTCGACGCAGGTCCCTTGCCACGGCTCACCTAGTTCAAATTCGCTAGAACCATCGAGTCTAGAGATGTCGTCCGTGGCCACCGTGGCCTTGAGCGAGATGCCGAGCACGCCGAACGCCGGCGCGTGCCGCAGGCAGACGGCGTTGGCGCGCTCGCGCCAGAGGCGCGCGCGGCCCGCGCAGAGGCTCGAGGACGACCGCTCGCATTGGCTGATGATGAAGACGGGACAGCCGACCGTCGCGACGACGCAGCACTCGACCCGGCCGAGCCCCAGGGACGGGAGGCCGAGGAGGTCGCCGATGAACGCGTCCCACAGGTCCACCTTGACCCCCCGCGCGGCGAGGGTGATGGGCAGGCACTTCGACGAGAAGACGTTTCCATTGAACTCCGTCTCCCCCGTCATGTAGCACTGATCCTGCACGCTATCGACGTAGAGCCTCGCGCCTCCGGCGCCCTCGAACGTCCCTGGGATGGATGCCGTGCAGAAACCTCTTGTTTCTATGCGATTGATGGGCATGACGGCGGTGTGCGGTGTTGCAACTTGGGTGGCGAGAGCAGCCCGAGGGCCTGGATTGCACCCCGAAACCGTCGGCACCTTCCCGGCAACAACATGGTCAACTATTTTTTTGAAGTCCGTTCGAACCCGGTTCAAAGTCCAGTTCAAGCTGCTAGAGGGACCCGTGGGTGACGGGCTTCGCGCGGGCGAGGAGCGCGGCGCGCTGGTCCGGCGCGAGGGCCGCGAGGAGGAGGTTGAGGCGCGAGTCCGGGTCGTCGAGGAGGTTCGCCGGGTGGTCGAACTCCGCGACGGCGCCCGCGTCCATCGTGAGGATCATGTCGCTGTCGATGACCGTCTCGAGGCGGTGCGCGATGGTCAGGCTCGTCGTCCCGACGAAGGCGTCCTTGAGCACGCGCTGCACGGCGGCGTCCGTGTGCTCGTCGACGTTCGACGACGGCTCGTCCATGACGACGACCTTCGTCTTCCGGAGCAGCGCGCGCGCGACGCCCAACAACTGCTTCTCCCCCGCCGACAGGGAGCCGCCGTCGGCCTTGACGACATGGTCCAGCGCCAGCGCGCCGAGCCCCGCGGCGTCGAGCGCGCGCCGCTTGTCCGGCGACCCGTGCTCCTCAAAGGGGTCCAGGTTCCGGTCGACGGACCCGCTCAGCAGCACGTTGTCCTGGGGCACCATGGACACGCGCTTCCGCAGGGCGCAGAGCCCGACGAAGGCCACGTCCAGCCCGTCGATCAGCACCCGGCCCGCCTCGGGCTCGACCAGGCGGAGCACGAGCGCGACGAGGCTCGACTTGCCCGCGCCCGTGCGGCCGATGACGCCGACCCTCGTGCCGCCCTCGACGTACAAATTCAGGTGCTCCAGCGCCGGCGGCAGGCCCGGCCGGTAGCGCAGCGTCACGTCCGCGAAGCGCAGGGACCCGTTCGACGGCCAGAGCTCCGCGGGCGGCTCGCGGTGCGTCGCCGGCGTGTCCCAGTGCCTGGGCAGCACAAGGGTGATTCAACGTCGCTTCAACGTGAGTGTTCCGCGCGTTACGGAAAACACATCCACGCTGCGAGACCGTCCCGAGAGATGATCGCTCGTCCAAAAATCAGCCGAAACGAGTGGAAAACGGCCGAGAAAGGAGCCTTTGAAGTTGGGAATGTCGCTCTCTTGTCCTGCCCTGCCCAGTGCTTCTCGACCGGCGGCCCGTGCTCCGGGTCGCAGAGCTCCTGGAGCCGCTCGAAGGAGCTAAAATAGAGCCGCAGCGTCGTGAGCTGGAACATGAGCACGCTCAGGAAGTAGGGCAACAGCACGCTGTAGGTGAGCGCGAGCGGCGCCGTCGCCTCGTCGACGACGGTCCCCGAGCCGTCCAAGAGGACGACGAGCGCGGTGGCCCAGGCGCAGGCCGCGGCGATGAGCGTCGCGTGCAGATTCGCCCAGGCCGGCACGGACTCCGTGCAGAACCGCAGGTGCGCGACGTCGTGCGCGTGGATCGCGTGGCGCCCGAGGAAGAATTTCTCGACGTACGCGTCGCCGGAGCCCGGCGAGATCGACCGCGACGCGAGAATCTCCGAGAAGTTCGTCATGAGCGGCGCGAAGGCCGCGTTCGCCAGCCGCTTCGCGTTGCGCAGGCCGACGTCGGCGACCTCGACGACGACGCCGTAGGCCGCGAGCGCGACGGCGAGCACCGCGACCATCGGCGGGACGACGGCCGCGATGAGCACCGCGAAGACCAGAATCTGGCCCGACATCTGGAAGACGTGGTCCACGTAGAAGGATAATTGCAGGTCCACGACCGACAGGTCCGCGGAGAAGCGCGACGTCAGGCGGCCCGTCGGCGTCGCGTCGAAGTAGGACAAGGGCGCGCGCAGGACCCGGTGCAGGCAGTCGCGGTGGAGCGTCTTCGCCGCGCGCACGCCGCCGGCGGAGAAGAGCACGGACGTCGCGATCAAGAGCACCGCCGACAGCAATACAAAAATGCCGTAGAGCCACATCGCGTCCTCCGCGCGGTCCGACTCGAGCCGGTCCTCGCGCTTCTCCTCGCCGTCGACGTCCAGGATGCCGATCCAGCGGCTCAGGGACCAGTCCCCGAGGGCGAAGCAGCCGTAGGACGCACCGCAGACCGTGGCCGTGCACCAGAAGCGCGCGACGCCGAAGTTCTCGAGGTACTTCCTGTACATCGACCCCGCGATCGCCTCCTTCCGCTGGAATTCCGCCTCGACCAACGCCCCCTTCGCCTCGCGCTCCTTCTCCGTGAGCTTGTCGTCGAACATGGCCGACGACAGGGCGGCGCTCGGCCGCCCCACCATCGCCGCGAGCCGCGTCGCGTCGGCCGGCGGCGGCGGCGCGGCGGCGGCGCCGTCGCGCCGCGCGACGGGCCTCGCGGAGAAGATGAGCGAGTCGTCCTCCTTGTAGAAGGCCACGCCCAGGTCGTCGTCGCTGCCCGCGACGTCGAGCTCCACGGCCTTTCTGAGCGGGGGCGAGAGGTCGACCTCCTCGACGGGCGTCGGCAGCCGCGCGGGCGGCGGCGGCGCGGGCGCGCCCGCCATCGCCGCCAAGTCGAGCCCGACCATGCACGTCGCGCCCAGGGAGGACGTCAAATCCTCGTCGTCGCTCACGTCGGACCCCGGCGGCGAGTCGTACTCGTCGATCATGTCGCCGCCCGCGCCGAGGCACGCGAGCACGGACGATTGCGCGGCGCCGTCGAAGGCCCGCGGGTTGTTCGTCCGCTCGCTGCCCGCGGGCGCGAAGGACCGCTCGCGCATGTCCATGCCCAGCGCGTCGACGTCGGCGCCGTCGCTAAAGTCCGTGCCCGCGAAGAGCTCCTCGAGCTTCGACTTGGGCGCCGGTCCCGCCGCGAGCGGCCGCGGCAGCGTCGCGGGCGACTGCGCGCGCGGCGTCACGTTCTCCTCGTAGTCCGCGGCGCCCGGCTTGGGCGACGCGCGCCGCGCCTCCTCGAGCTCGAGGAGCGAGTCGTGGCTCCCCTCGCGCGCGGACGCGAGCGCGGCGTAGTGCGGCGCGCCGGTCCGCGACAGCTCGCCCGGCGGGCCCTGCTCGACGACGCGGCCGCCGACGACGACGACGACGCGGTCGCATTTCGCGGCCAAATGCATCTGGTTCAGCGCCAGCAGCACGCCGCGCTCCGGCGACGCGTAGCGCCGGAACGCGGCCTCGAAGACGTGCGCGGCGACGCGGACGTCCAACGCCGACAGCGGGTCGTCGGCCACGAGGAGGTCCGGCCGGGCGTACAGGGCGCGGCACAGGCTCACGCGCGCCTGCTGGCCGCCGCTCAGCGTGACGCCGCGCTCGCCGACTTCCGTGAGGTCGCCCGCGGGTTGCCACAAATCGAAGTCCGCGCGCAGGCCGCACGCGTCGACGCAGGCCTCGTACCTTGACCGGTCGAAGGGGCGGCTCAGCAGCACGTTGGCCCGCACCGTCGCGGAGAACACGAGGGCCTTCTGGGGCGCGATGGCCACGGACCCGCCGAGCGCGCGCGACCCCTTGGTTCTCGATAACACGCCTCCGGTCGCCGCGGCCAACAGGCACGTCTTGCCCGCGCCGACGGCGCCGACGACGGCGACGACCTCGCCGGGCCGCACGCAGAGCGTCACGTCCTCGAGGGCCGGCGTGTCCGTTTTGGGGAAGACGAAGGTCGCGTCTGTGAGCGCCGCGAGCTCCGAGGACGTCTCCTCCTGCTCTTCGGTCTCGGCCGCCTCCGGGAAGAGGTAGGCGTCGAGGCGGTCGAAGCTCACCTTCATCACCAAAATGTACATGTAGGTCTGGGGGAGCATGATCATGGACACGCGGAGCGCCTGGAAGACGCTGAGCGCCGCGAAGACCGACGCGTAGTCCAGATCGCCTTCCCCCGAGTAGAAGCAGGCCATGAACGCGACGCAGGACGCCAGCGCCGGCGACGCGCGCCCGAGGCTCACGGACACGACCTGGGAGCAGCGGAACCGGAAGATCGCCGCGCACTCCTTGTCCCGGACCGCCGCCACCCGCGACTCGAAGCCCGGCTCCCAGCCGAAGAGCTTGAAGGACCGGATGCCCCGCAGGGCCTCGTTGATGAGCTCGAGGCGCTGGTCCGCGAAGCCCAGGTTCACCTTCTGGGCGCGCTTCGTGACGCGCGCGAGGCGCGTGTTCGTGAAGAGCACGAGGACCATCGTGCAGACCTGTGTGGAAACCAACCACTGGTTTGGGTGGTCCTGACCAAACTTGAGAATTCTCTAGCTCGGTCAAATCGAAGTCGATTCGGCTGATTTTTGGACGGATCGATCGATCTAGTCGAGTTCTCGAAGCCCAGCTGAAGAGCTTGTGTCAAAACATTCGAATACGCTCACATTGAAGTCGGGTTGAAGATTTGGTTTCCACACAGGTGCAGACGCCCGCGACCGTCGGCACGAAGCCGAGCCGCGTGAACAGCATGACGCAGCCGCCGACGATGGCGACGAGCGACGCGGGCATGAACACCAAGAAGCGGCACATCTCGACGATGGACACGAGGTCCGACCCGACGAGGTTCGCCTCCGAGGAGCCGCCCTTGGCGCCGCGCTTCGCGTTCGGCGCGCGCTCGTCGGGGGCCACCAGCGCGGCCCCGGCGGCCTTGAGCGTCGCCGCGCGCCGCGCCACGAGCGTCGACGCCACCTGGAGGCTCCGCAACGAGAAGAGCTGCGTGTTCAGGCTCATGAGCATCTGGCTCAGGCCCTCGCTGAAGACGACGAATCCGAAGACGCACGCGACGAGCACCTTGTACTCGTTGGAGTAGCGCGGGCCCCGCGCGGCCGTGCGGATGGCCCAGACCAGAATAAAGGGCCGCCCGACGGTAGATAACAAACCCTGGCAGAGCCCGAAGAAGAGCGCCGTGCAGACGCGGCGCCGGCCGACGTCGAAGAGCAACAGCGCGAGGCGGACGCGCGCGCCCGCGGAGCGCTTCGCGCCCAGATAAGCGTCGGCCGCGGCCATGGACGGCGCGCTGTCGAACTCGGGCAGGTACGGCGGCAGGTCGTCGCGCTCCACGGGCGTCGCCATGCCCCGCCGCGCGAGCGGCGGGATCCACGACGCGCCGTAGAGCCGGAAGACGCCGCGGCAGCCGCCCCAGAACTGCCTGTCGCCGGCCTCGTCGTAGGTGGCGGCCATAGTTGCTGCGAGCCTCGGTCTGGTCCGCCGCCGGGCTGCCCGGGCGCGATTACGACGCAGCCTCGGTCTGGTCCGCCGCCGGGCTGCCCGGGCGCGATTACGACGCGGAGTTCAGCTGGTCGCAGACGCAAAATTACCACAGTCGGCACCGCCGCGGCGGCTCGAGCAGGCTCGCTGAAGCGAGGGCAGACTTATGTCGGCATCGTCGTCCCCCTCAAGCCTTGCGCAATCCCGGCGGGTGTGTCGCGAGCGGCGAACCTGATATTGAAAATCTGGCGCCGCGGGCGCGAAGCAACTCGAAAGGGACCGACAGCGCCGTCAGCGCCGCCACGGACAAGAAGCCCGGCAAGGACCTGTCGACCATGGCCCTCGCCGATGGCCTCGCCTTCCTGCTCAACATCTGCTCGTCGGCGCGCGCCCGGCGCCCCCGGGAGCGCGCGCGCCCCCGCCCCGACGCCCGAACCAATGAAGAACCGCGCGCCCCCCCATCTTTAGGTCTTCATCATCTCCGTGAACAAGCGCCTCATGGGCAGCCAGGGCTACGCGTTCCGCTTCGTCGTCACGCTCAACGCGCTCCACTACCTCACCACCACGGTCTGGACCGTCGTCGCCAAGAAGGTGGGCCTCGCGAAGCAGGACGACGGCGCCGGCGGCAAGCCCGCCCACGTGCCCTGGCGGGCCGTGGCCGTCTTCACCTTAGTTTCGGACGCGTCGATCATCAGCCTGAACACGTCCTTGATGCTCAACAGCATCACGCTCTACCAGATCGCCAAGCTGGGCATCATCCCCTGCACCTGCGTCGTCGAGTACTTCCTGTACGGGCGCGTCTTCACGGCGAAGATGATCGCGTCCATCGGCCTCACGCTGTGCGGCGTCGCCCTGGTCGCGATCACGGAGATGAACGTGTCCTCCTCGGCGCTCGGCGTCGCCGTGGCGGCCTGCAGCGTGCTGAGCTCGTCGGGCCAGCAGCTCCTCGTGCGCCACCTCCAGCTCAAGCACAACGTCTCCGCCGGCGCGCTGCTGGGCGTCGTCGCGCCCGCGCAGGGCATGTCGCTCCTGCTCCTCTCGCCGGTGCTCGACAAGCTGAGCACGGGCATCTTCGTCACGGACTACCGCTGGAGCCGGGGCAGCGCGCTCTGCCTCGTCATGTCCTGCAGCGCCGCCGTCCTCGTCAACGTGTCCCAGTTCCTCGTGCTCGGCCGCTTCACGGCCGTCACGTATCAGGTCCTCGGCCACGCGAAAACGATCTGCGTCCTCGTCGTCGGCTACCTCTTCTTCGGCGGCCAGATCACGGGCCAGCAGTTCGTGGGCATGACCATGGCCGTCGGCGGCATGATGTCCTACTCCCAGGCGAGCCAGAACGCGCCGCAGAAGCCCGCGTCCGCGCCCAAGGCGTCGGAGTCGGACCTCACGGACCTCCTCGGCAAGAACAAGGAGTCGAACGCCGTCTAAAACAATGTACGAGTCGCGCTTACATAGCCCGCCGGCGGGATATGTTGAATGCAGGCCTGGAGGCCGGCGCGCGCGGGGAGGGGGTGCAAGCAGGTGTGGCGGGTGCCGCCTGGGCGGCTATGTACAGCGTGGAAGTCGACGCCGACGCGCGGGGCGTCGGCGGCGGCGGCGGCGTCCGAGGGCGGACGTCGCCGGGCGGCGTCCGCGCGGTGCGGGAGCAGCCGCGAGGTCGTCATCGTCGTGTTCTCGTCGTTCTCATCTCGTTCTCATCTCGTCGTTCTCATCTCGTCGTCGTGTTCTCGTCGTCCTCTTCTCGTCGTTCTTAATGGTTTCCGAAGAAGGGGGCTAGACTGAAGGGAGATGAAGATCCGCCACTCCTTCGAGCGTGCGACCCCCCCCCCCATGCCGCGCAAGAGCGAGTCGCTCTTCCGCGTCGTCGAGGTGCCCGCCGCGGACCGCGCCGCCGGCGGGCCACGAGGTGGGAGGCCGTGTGTTGGTGGGGGGTGGGGGAAGGGTGGCGGGTGAGGGGGGGTCGACACGGGGCGGGCATGAAAGATCGAAACGACGAATCGATCCACTTTCCGTTTTTAGGTTTTCGCTCGTCGTTTTCGACCGACTTTTTCACCAAATATGTGGCTCTCGCGGCGAGGGGGAAGGGACGTGCTCGCGGGAGCCAATGCGGGGATATTTGGACGCGGGAGGTGACGATGCGCGAGAGGCGGGGTCGAGCGGCGCAACAGTCGAGAAACGCCGCTGTGATTTTCACGATAGAGCTCGCTAGTTTCATGCAATCCTCAAAATTTGTCGAGGTTCGATATCGAACGACAAAGCCGGCTATGTTGCACCTCTCTAGAGCTTGATTCCAGAGACCCCTAGGCTAGCCCCACTAGGGTAACACCCAGTGTGCCACCTCCTATGTGCCTGGAGTTCGCCGCGCTCTTCGCGCTCATGACGCCGACGGTGACCAACTACGACACCCACGACCTCGAGGGGTCCTTGCTCGACGTGCCGGGCGCGCACGTCGCCGACTTCCGGAAGACGGTCGGTTGCCCAGCCGGCATCACCAGGCGCCTTCCCGCCCGCCCTCGCGCCCGCCGCGCCGCGTTAGGAGCTCCCCCGGTCGTCGCCGTGGGCGAGGAGGAGGTCCTTGCGCGTGAGGATGCGCCGCCGGCGGGGGTCGAGCACGGGCAGGTGGCGCACGCCGAGGGCCTTGAAGATGCGCAAGGCGCGGGGCGCGGGGCAGTGGGGCGGCACGGTCACGGGCGCGACGTCGACGCGACCTCGAGGATCACCGTGCCCTAGCGGCGGAGTCGAGCGCCGCCTCATCGTTGTTAAGCCGCGTCGCGCTTCGTGATCTCGAGGATCACCGTGCCCTCGCGGTACTGCTTCTCCTCCTGCTCCGCGACGCAGAGCGGCGTGCCGCTCTCGGCGACGTAGGGGGCCGCGTCGGTGACGCCGAGCTCGGGGAAGCGCTGGAAGAACTTGTCGACGATGGCCCGCTTCGCCTTGTCGCCCATCTTGCTCTTGAGCCGCTCGGCCTTGGCGCGGAAGCACGCGCGCTCCACGCGGCCGTCGACGACGTAGAGCACGAAGATGGGCAGGCGGTCCTGGGCGAGCTTCTTCGCGCGGGCCATCGTCGCCGCGATGGACCCGAAGCCGCCGAGGCCCCCCGCGCCCTTGGCGAACGCGCCCGCGGCGAGCGCGCCCGCGGAGCCCATGGCGCCGAGCGCGGCGGCGTTCGGCGCGACGCCGGTTTCGGCCTCGGCCCCCGCCGGCGGCTCGGGCGCGGGCGCGTCCGCGGGCGACGACGGCAGCTCGACGAGCGTCGCCGCGGGCGAGCCCGGCGGCGGCGCCGCGGCGGGCAGCGCGACGACTTCGACGGAAACCTCGCCCTTCTCCTCGCCGGCGGGCTCCGCGGCGCCGAAGCCCGCCGACGCGAGCCACTCCTTGGACCCGGCGCTCACGGCCGCGGCGTCGTCGCTCGGCTCCCGTCTGTCGTGCGTCTGCACGCGGTGGAGCACCGTCGTCTGGCGCGGCCGCTGCGGCGGCTCCTCCGGCGGCTCCTCGGCGGCGACGCGCGGCGGCGCCTTGGGCGACATGGCGCTGCTCAGGCGCCCGAAGACGCTCTTCTTCCGCTCGGGCTCGGGCTTCGCCTCGAAGCGGATGGCCGCCTCCTCGCGCTCCCGCTTCCGGTCGAGCGCCTCCTGGTACGTGGGCACGACCTGGGGCGCCGCCGCCGGCGCCTCCGTCTCCGCGCGGCTCTTGCGCCGGCCCGACGCCGAGCTCGGCCGGCTCCGGGACGCGCTCGACGGCCGCGAGCCCGCGGCGGAGCTCGGCCGGCTCCGCGTTGCGGAGCCCGGCCGCGAGCCCGGGCCCTCGTAGGCCTTGCGCTCCGGCGGCACCTCGGCCTTGGGCGACGCGACGTCGACGCGCTTCGGC